AGAGGCTTTCTAATGATAATCCTTAGTAGCCACCTGTGACTGCATTAGCAGCTGTTCATTTTTAACATTAGTTAACAGAATTCAAATGGTACTGAATAAAAGACCTCTGAGTGCTGTAAATATTGTTCCAAGATGTCTCCATGTAAATCTACTGGAGATAGATGTTCATAAGAGCTACTGTTTTACATTCTGGTACAAAGTTTAGTCCCATGTAGGACAGTCCCAGTGACTAAACATGTCTAAAAATAGTCCTCCAGTACAAGCATGTTACTCAGAAAGTGAGATTGGCACTAAGCTCTGAGTCAAACAACAGTATTAAGTCTTGGCACAAATTTATTTTGTCCTTACCAAGGCATCAGTGTTTAATGAGGAATCTATATGCAAGCAGGGTAAGTCTGTCATTTGTGCAATAGGTCACTTTAGTGCCCAAGGACAGTGTCAGTTGGGCATACAGTTTAGTTGCTTAAAAAAAACCCCAGAATCAGACTGAGAGCCTCATACAAACTACATTTCCTTCTCTGTGTAAAAAAAAAAAAAAAAAACACAACTAAAAATTGCCTTTTTCACTCACTCATGGCATGAACACTGTTCCTACTTGCACTCAGTGCAATTCATTACCCTCAGCATGTGCATGTTTCCTCCCCCAGTTCCTCAGTGATTAAAGCACAATTGCAGCATTGTGTGTGATTTGATTCTGCGTTACACTGTACGTCAGAAAAGGATTAAAAATAAGCTCTTGGAGTACAGATTATGTGAAGCATCATGCAAGATGTGACAGGAGCATTAATGAATCCAACTCTAATGAATAAATTGGGACAGTTTAGCCACAAATCTGTATTTTGTTTTCCAGTAGATGCTTTATATAGGGTATTTGTCAACAAGACTTACATGCATACGTAATTTTTTCAAGCAGGTAAAGTCATATTTTATTAGTATAGAGGCTTAAGCTTTGGAAGCAGTAGGTCATTATTGAACATACACTGGTGCTTGAAGAAACTGGCTTAATAGGCAGTACCAGGAATTTAGTGCAAATAATGAAGACTTAGGCTTGTTTATGTCATCACACTGGCAAATGTACTTTCCTTGCACATAGATTGCTTTTCTGCAATGGCTGGAGAGCAACATGGGTGCTAGTAGCATTAAAAGATCTTTGGTTTACTTTATAGTTGATGTTTGAAAGCCATTCAGCAGCACAGATGAGTAGCTTTATTTCATTGCAGCATAATTTTTGATTTTTATATAATGGATGGTTTGCAGCCAACACAGCCATCTGTTCTCAGGGAAATTGCGCAAAACAGAAGATGCACTTGCCCTAGTGATAGATCCCAGCCTTGTGTTATCCATGGTATGGATCTGATCCAGCTGAGAAGCATAGCTCTTCACTTACAGTGCAGCAAAGGCAGGCTCAGACACAGCCCATGTGCTGCCCTTCCCACCCACATCAGGTTTCTTATTTCAGCCTGTGAACCACACTGGAAAGCTAATCAAATCCCATCTAATATTGCTACATGATGCAATATCAGTGAGGTTAAAAGCACACCCAGCACCACAGCACACATGAACAGTGGTCCTTGCACCTCTCAGCTCCCTGCTGCAGCAGCCCAGCAGGACTTCTTCTCAGAGGGAGTCTTGAAAAGATTCTCAAGAAAGTAAGAGGAGGCTGAGACTGAAGAGACCTTCGTCTCCAACCTTAACACATCTCTGAAGAAAACTTGCTAGAACGATTTCCTAGCAACTTTTGCATTTGCTCACAATCTCTTTGCCTGCTTCAGCTTTACAGCATGAAGCTGCTGAGGGAATGACAGAGCCCAGGCAGGAGCAGGAACCTCTGAGCACCCCAGCGGGAGCAGCAGGAGGTGCTCAGAGCCCAGCTCCACCTGCTCTGTGGCTCCGAAGTGTGGGAGCAGAGTCAAACACAACCCTTCTCATTTTCTGAAGATAAAATATATCCAGGTACAGACTGAACTGCAGATAACAACTTGGACCTCTGGGAACAATTGCCATGAAAACCTTTGCAGACCTCTAGGTGCACCACAGCAGGTACAGCCCTTCCAGTGGGGTTTGCTCTGTTGGCCTCTGCCATGTGCATTCCCTCAGAATAATAGAAATAAACCGCATCAAATTTATGTAGTAATTGTCTGTATGGTCATTAGTAATCAGGGTTCCTTTGTGCTTTGGCTGAGGTTCTAGGGTGGATGTTGTAGCAGCTCTGTTGTATCAAAAGTGATTTTGCAGTGTGCTGTGCACACCTTGTTTGGGCAGGGGCAGCTGGCCCTTGGCTCCAGCCCTGTGGGCACCCCTAATTCCAGCCTTTTGTGTGCACAGTCTTCTTCAATGCAAAGTCTCTTCAGCATGTACAAGGGACAGACAGAGGTACAAGGGACCATCCCTTCCCAAAACTGGAACACACAGGTCACCACCCAACACCAGAACAAACTCTTTGGCTGCTCAGATACACTCCTTACCTCAGCTCACCTTTAAACAATCAACCTTTCAGGTCTGGACTTCTCAGAAGCAGTCACGAGCTTTCCAGCCATTCTGGAGTTTCCAAAAGCACTGTTACTTTCTAATTAAAGACTGAAGAAAAGGCTCTGAGGGAGCCAGTACCAAGGAGTCATGATGTGTGAGCTCACAAACTGGCAGGGAGTCAGGTCCTAAGGTTGTCTTCTCTTCCTTTTGCCTTTGTATAACCCCCCAGATTTCCCCAGATGACCTATCCAGCCCCCACCAGGTGGTTTCAGTTCCCCAGGTGACATCTGTCCTGGAGAACCAGACATTTCAGTCATCAGCCATGTCATATAATGAAGAGATGTAGCCTGGCCCTATACCTTGGGCATTTCAGCAGTCTATGGGCACATTTTGTCCTGGATGGAGAAGGTGATGGGATGGTGAATACCCCTTCTCTAATGACATTTCACAGACAGATGGATACAGTGAATTGACAGTGTAAAGAATTAGTTACAACTAATGGAATGCAGTAGGGAGTGCTAGACACTAAAGTTAACTGCTGTGACTTTTGGATTTTGTATGTGATGATACCCTCAGAACTTTTTGATGATACTCTCAGACCTTTGCCAGGTGCCTGGACATCATCTGCATTGAAGAGGCACCTCCAGATGGGAACTGAGAGGTGAGGGACATGTTGGCAGGGCAGTCCTGAAAGCCTGTCCCCTGTGAGCCTTCTGCAGCCTAGCTCAGTGCCTCCCTTTCAGCTGGGATAAGGGATGGAAACTATCCAGCAGAGGAGGGCAGCCTACTCTGGCAAAGGGGGTAGTCAAGCCCTCAGTAACTGCCTGGCCACAATACTAAAACTGGTATGGGCATTATTCCTGCCCTGTTAGAAAGGTTAGAAAGGAACCAGTCATGAGCTGTTTGCCTTAGAGCCTGCCACTGGGTGTTAACACTCTAAGAGAAAATGTGTTACACTCAGTTGTGTGTGCAGCTCAAACTGAATTCCCAAGCATTTCCAGCTGCCTTGTCAAGATTTATGTAGGGGTCTTGGGAGACTGTCCCCCCTTTTCCCACTCCCATGGAAGATGCATCTTCCACATCAGGACTTCCTGCTCCTGCCCCTCAGACTGTTTATAATCTCCCCTTTTCCCTAGCTACAACTGCTCCTATATATTAAAAAAAAATTAAGTATAAGAAAATGGGGGTGGGAGGTGAGGAAATTCAGTTTAGGGCTTTTTTTCCTTTTTTAATAGCATATGGAATTGCTGTGTGAGATCCTAAACTGGCATGCAGACAAGTGTTTTGTAAACTCAGGGTACATGCAGCCTTTGGTTGTGCTGAATTCAGGGGACAAAAATCAAGAACCATATAAGCCACTGTCCAAACCATCTGTTCAAGTCCTCTGCCTTTCATTTCTGTGTAGCAGAACATAGATTCATTATTAAAATAGCTTGGCTGTGCACAGCAGCTGCTATAATTGCAAAGTTATGCAACTTTAAATGGGAAATTATGAAGTGGTTTAAAGCAAGAAATTGAGCGGTTTTGGTAGAAAGGATTTCACAAACCTAACATGAATAGAAGTGCTCTTCTAGTTATATTTTCAATATCTGTGGGGGGAAAAGATCTTACAGTTCAAATTGAATGCAGGAAGAACTGCAGACAAGCTGTTAGACTGGGACAGAACAAGGCTGGACATGAGTTGTGATATGGCTGTACCACAAGCTGCTGGTGGGAGACAGCAAGCCTTCTGTTCCTCAGGTTCCCCACCATAATACAGAGGACCATGACCTCTCATATTTGTTTCAGGTCCTTCCCTCCTGTGCAGTGCATTGGTGCAAGAGCTATGGCAGATCCAGAAGTGAGAGGACTGCCCTAGCTCCTGCTGATGACCACAGTTGTCAAGAGTCTGGTTCCATTACATGACCATCATCTTGGGCAGCACTGCACTGCAGTACATTCTGCAGCACAGGTGTTAATTATGCCTGATAATCAGAGCCTGATTTGCACCATTTGTATGTGTAACCCGTATCAGAACACAAATCTCTCTTTCTTTCTGTGGGTGCTTCTTCCTTGCTCAGACAGTTTGGTCATTCAGACAGTACAGTAATTAAAATAATTTGTCTCTGCATGAGAATTAATAAAGCAAAAATGAAGAAAAATCTACTGTAAGGTAAGTTTTTAGAAAGGCTAGTCTTGTCCCACTTTGTGATAGACATGGAATGAAGTTATTAAAGAGCCTCATTCTGTGTATGCAGAATTACATTACAAGCAAAGCTTCCTCTGTTTTGTCTTGTTTCATCCTCATAATTTTCCTCTTTCTCTTTAAGTCAAAGTATCATCCTCATATCTTCCCTCTTTCTATTTAAGTCAGATATATGGCTATGCACTTTCCATATACAATTTGTGTCAAGCAGTAATGGGTGGGAAAAAAAGTCATACTGTTTTGAATCAGGTTTTCAGAGTGTGAGAGGAAACATTTTAAGCTCATACCTTTTTAATCAATGTAACGTCAGTATTACCACTCTTTTTTACCTTTCCCCTTTGTCCAGGTATCACTGTAGATAAGCACGGATTTATTTACTTCGTTGATGGTACTATGATTCGGAAAATTGATGAGAATGGTGTGATCACAACAATAATAGGTTCAAACGGCCTCACGTCAACCCAACCATTGAGCTGTGACTCTGGAATGGACATCACTCAGGTAGACACCTGGTTTTCATGTGTTGTCACTTTTATACACATTGCAGAGACAGAGAACTTATTTTGTTTGTCAAAGATTGTATATTGAATATGCTGGATGAGTCAGATAATTCTGAACTGCACAGTATGGAGTGGATCTTCCATTCCCATGATTATTTTAAGGTGTACCATATAAATGCAAAACCACACTTGATTTGTTTTCCAGGAGATGGCATATGAATATGTAGAGGTCCTTAGAGTACAAGCTGCTTTACAAAGTTCCTTGCTCTCTGAGATAGATCTTCTAAGAAGTTAATCAGAAGTTTAAAGAGCTTTCCTTTAGTCCAGCATTCAGACTGGTTTGCTTGAACTAGTAAATGGAAAAAAATAGATATTCTGTTTACATCTAAGTCTGTTCTAAATTGTGGAGGAGCATTAGAGTAAGTAATTACACCACAGCAGTATTTTAGTGAAGCTACTGCATTTCAATGCATTTCTCAAAGTGCTTTTCAGTTCTTATGTCAAGAGCACAGTAAAAGAAATAGGACTAAAAGACACTTATCGCATCTCTAGTTTATGCTAAAAAAGAAATATGGATAATAATGGAGAAACATAAATGATGCTCTTGACTAGTCAGTGAGCCACGCTTACAGACAGCACAAGGAAGAGTCTTGGCCTTTGCCAGGAAATACTTGAATTAATCAGCTTCAAAAAGGGGGAGAAGCTGTACTTGAAAAAATCTTGAAGCATACAAGTGACATACTAAAATATTATGCACTGTGTAAGCTAATAACCAGGATTGGGTTAATTTTGCATTTCATTTTCTCCCTGCCCTTTCCTCTGTCCTTCACAACTGAAAAATCACAGTTAAAATACACTGTGTAACAATGGTAAGAGCTTGTTCCTCATTTCTCAGTAGATTTTGAGTAATAGCAGGTGCTATGGTCTTGCATTTGCATACATGAAGAATGTGGGGGTTGATGGTTTAGGTAGTTCTCACTGATTTTCACAGAGTCAAATGCTGGGTTCTAATGCTGCTGTCACAGAAGCAGTTGGGGATTTTATTACTAGAGCCAAAACAGAAAAATATGTGTGTGTTCCATTTCACGTCACTGCACCCTGTGTCTTCTCAAATGTGGGGAGGGAAGCCTCAACCTCCCTGTTCCCAGTTATATGTGTGTATTTCACATGTCACTGCACCCTGTGTCTTATCAAATGTGGGGAGGGAAGCCTCAACCTCCCTGTTCCCAGTTCTGGGACAAGACAGGTGTTTTCATTTTCTGGGGTCCAGAAGAGGTGTAATTATTCCATGTAAAGCAGAATAGGGTCAACTGGCTTAGTTGTGCTCAGCCCAAGCTTAAACTAGCCTAGTAATTGTCTTAAGATCATATGGCTTCTGGGCACCTTGGCTTCTGCTCTGGCACCTCTCCTTGCAGGCCAGCCAGTCCTGCAGGTGATGAGCAGGAACCTACAGCCAGCAGTGCTACATACCAGCTGGCAGGAGCGATGCTTCATGGAACTTAAAGGTGCCTGAAGCACATTTGCTTGCTTCTTGGATACTTATAAGAACTGCCTGGGGCACCCATAACCAGATTAGATATCTCTGAGGTGCAGGGAAAGGTGCCAGTGCCTTCTCCTTCTGGTCTGCAGTCTCAGGCTGTACAAATAATTGCTTTATTGGCCATATAATATGCACTATGTATTTGTGTTCAAATTTTTGCTGATTTTGCTCAGTAACAAAATGTCTCACTAAATCTGAAATGGTGAGTTTTGATGGTTTTCATTTCCTTTTGTAAAATGCAAATCCCCTTTAGCAAATGAGTTTCAGCAGAGGGTCTGGCAAATTCAGAAATAAAATGATATATTTTTAAAGTTAAAATAAAAATTTAAAGGTAAACTTTTGGGGCTGAAATAAAATATGCTAAATTTGTAAGTAGATTTAAATAGCCCTAGAAGCCTGTTTCCTGGTAGGCTGGCTACTTGCCAGAAACAGGTTTAGTTTTCCTCACTCTACAACATAGTTCCAGTGCCATGAAGGACAGGCTTCTGCAGTCATAGATAAGAGAAAATATGTCATAGAACAAATTATTCTTCATATTGCTCTTGGGACATCAGCATTCAACTGGGTCTTCTTTTCATAGATGCAGAAATAAATACTTTTTTCCATGACCACTCCAGGTACTTCCATGCTGCAGCATCTACAGGAGACTATTGCTACACATTTCTCAAAATTTTTCAATTGTTTCAGGGTTCTAAGAAGTGAAGATATGTTCTTACTCCATAGATTGAGATAACCATCAGTTAAATTGTGAATGCACGACAGTAAATATTCTAAAAATCATAATAAATTATGTCATATAAACATGTCCCTAAAAAGTGGCCAGGCCTCATTTTCTAAGCATAGTGATACTGTATGATTTTCTGTATAATTTCTCAGTGGTAAATGAAGTCACATTGTGGACAATCTGCAACACAGTACTTTTGGAAACGTTTTTGGTCTTGAAGGATTTGTTTTGTGGGGGTTTAAGTAAATCTCTTTATTGAAATTTTTCACAAAATCCACACTTTTGAGTGTTTTTCACATACATGGTAAATCACAGGCATGAAATAAATGCCAAGAATGCATGTTCTGCAAAGTAACTGTATCAAATTCACTCAATCATCTTCTTCCAAAAATGCTGCTGATAACCAGAAAACCCTATGAAATAATCACATCCCCTTGAAGTCAAGCATGTTAATCTGAAATTACATCAATGAAAATAAGGGAATGATATTTTCACTTAGTCAGAAACAATTGTGTATCTTTGCAAGACTGCTGAGTTTATTGCAGAATGGCATAAGCATAAATGAAAAATGAATTTGGCCCATCTCCACTCAGATGATTTTTTGGCAAAGTTACAAATGACATTTAAATCAAGAGAATGTGGATTGTTCACAAATTGTGTGTTTAGAGGGACTTATGAAATAGGTTAATAAAATAATTTCTCAAAGCTAAATTTGTTCTGACAATAAAATCAACAACTTGCACAAAATCAGTATTTCTTAATTTACTGAAGTACAAATATGTACTCTTGGAGTAAACACATAGAGTAACTGTCCATTGTGAACACCACCATAAGTGACAAGCTTTCACTTTAAGGCATTCACTTCAGTAAATGAGTTTATTATGAAAGGGTTTTATCATTTATTCCAATAACAGTTTTGATAGTGTTGCTTCTTATTAATCATTCTGTGTTTGTTATTCACCACCTTCTCCTTCTTAAGCATAATATTCTGCATTCATAACCAGGGGAGATATGGACAGCTGGGGCTGAAAAGATTCTATCATGAGCAAATAAACCACCAAGCTCTAACTTACTACTTTGATCTCATACTTCACTAGGGGAATTTAGAAGGAAAAGGATGTTCAGTTAAGGTGTTTATGTGATACACCAGTGTTCTCATTACTGTTTCAGTATGTGCCAAACTTGGATGACTTCACAGCACAGATCATTTCATTGTTCTTCAATTAGTTAATAACGAGCAAATCTAAAGAAAATGGCTTTTCAAAGCTATGATTACGTTTATCTATGTGTATATACTCAACACTCACTATTGGTGCCAGGATCTTAGCAGACACCTCCATTGAAATCAGTTGAAATAACTGAAATAGTATCTCATTCTGATGGAACTGGTCATTTTTTTTGAAGATGCTGCTCCTGACATGTTGAATACTGGAACACGAACAAAAGCTGAACTTCAAAGGCAAAACATTTTTCAGGAATTTCAAAAACTGGTGTTGGTCTTCATTTGTTCTGTGATTTTTTTTTTCACCTCACTAATATACCTCATCCAGAATCTGAATGCCAGACTTTTCAGATGAATGCCCCGTCCTCATCTTCTTATAGGTCTGGCTCTTGTTCTTCATGTGTTCTTTGGAAGCTGTTTTGTTGTAGGTTAATTAAATGAATAATAAACCCATGCTGAACCTTACACTTTTGCATCTGAGTTGAAGGCCCCATGGATTGAACTAACTGTTCTCCCAGTGGTAGACTAATGAGTATCTCCTTCCATCAAATTGAAGCTCAGCTGAAGAGAACACAGTTACTGGCTGCATATCCTACCTTCCCCATACCCTTTAGATAGGAAGACTGTTGTAGGTACTTTAAATCAGGATTATAAACTTTGATCTAAAATACTTCTCCTGAATTTTTTGAACTGCTGTGTTGCTCACTGCTCTCCAAACCTGCCCCAGCAGTGAGCTGGCTGAGGGACCTCCCTCACAGCAGGACCTGTGCCGGGGGCTCCCAGCCACAAGCCACAACAGGAATGTGAAGGGAAGGGACTGGGATGGAGAGAGAAAGAAGGCAAAGAGACAGGATCATCATTCTGTTTCACTGCCTGATGACTTTGGGCTTAATCCTGATCAGGGACCTCTCTAGGTTGCTTTTTTCTCACTTGTACTTTTTTCTCTTAGTGTGTGCACGTCCCTAGGGTATACAGACATTTTTTAGCCTGGTTATTGATAGCAAATGAGACCATGTTGTGTGGGTATGTCTGTCTGTCAGTATCCTTTCCTCACAGTAAATCAAAATCTTGGGCCAATTTCAAACAAATTTGTAGAGAAACACCAGGCTTCACAGCAATTAAATTCCTACACGTTCCAGAAGAAATATTAATCTAGTTGGAGGACAGAGACCTAAAGTGCCCTTTCAAAAGGAAATATTGCAGCATAAGCTTTCTTTTATTAAACTCCAGAGATTCCACTCAGGATGTAATAAATGTCCCATTCACAGGAAAAGCTTCATTTCATGCTTGGATCTTATTAAACTCCCAAGTCAGCCATATGACGGAAGTCCTTAGGAAACCAGAATTCATCATCAGATCCAGTGTTCTTCGAAGTTATATTGACGTTGTGGGAGGTTTTGTGTGAAAGTAACAACACTACAGCTCATCTTGAGTGATAAGCTTCACTGTTCTGCTTCCATTGCTATGGTGAAAGCTGAGGAGAGAATTAGCAGATATTTCTGCCATCTTGCAATT